GGGACCGGGACCTCCGGGGTGAACCTGCGGGCACGCTCCCGCACAGAGGCGGCACGCTGGAAGGGCCCGTCGGGGCACAGCTCTGTGGGGGGACAGGCACAAGCGCATGTCAGCCTGGGGACTCGGCCGGGACACCCCCCGCAGTGCATGCAGCCCTCCCAGGGTGCCTGATTGGAGTGCCTTAGGGTGCCCTGTGGTGCATGCAGCCCCCCTTGGTTCCTGGACAGGGTGCTCCCGTGGTGCATGCAGCCCCCTGGGTGCCTGGCCAGGGCATCCCCATGGTGAATGCAGCCTCCCCGGGTGCCCCTGTGGTGCATGCAGTCCCTCATGCTGCCTGGCCAGGGTGCCCCCTCTGTGCCTGCAGCACTCTCAACCAGGCTCCTTGAGGGGCCCTGCTTGATGCATGCAGCCATGCACGTGTGAGAAGCCATGGAGACTAGAGGAAGCAGAAAATATGCCCTGTGTGGGCAGCGAGAGATTAGCCTTGCTTGACCAGTGACATCTACCACATAGCATTCTGTCACCACCGCGGAGCTTCTTGCCTCCCCTGGCCTCTGCGGGGGACCTCCCGCTACCAGGAAGTGCGGAGAGATCAGAGACAGCAACCCCCAGCAAAGGGATCTTACCTGCGTGACCGACCAGGCGCAGGGAGGAAGGCGCTTGCTCCCAACGGTGAGTGTTCAGACGAGCTGGGGTCCCTGGTACACGCTGGGTGGGCACTGCCATTTGGCAAGGGATGGGTCATTTTCAGATATGAAAGGAACAAGGCAAAGGGAGCAGAGGGTTAGAGCAGCACAGGGTAGCATTGTCACCCATCCTACCACCACCACGCACAGCACTCTGGGGTCTTCTGACTCAGTCACCCCATGCTTCCCAGATTGTGGCACCAACAACCACCAGTGTCCGCAGGCTGCCCTGCACTGGGGACCCCGAGCAGCTCCCGGGCAGCAGAGGGTTCTGCTCTGCAGTGCCAAATCCTATAGCACAGGAGGGCAAGGGACAGACTGGTGCATCAGCATCTAGGTTGGGCAGAGAGAGGTACCCAGGGCCTGGTGCTGAGAAATCAATCCTTCACCCACAGGTCACTGGCAGAGCTGGGTGAACCCAGCCTTGCCTCTGGAGGGAGAGACAAGGGAGCTCAGGGGCTCTGTGCCAGGGCTCCAGTGGGGGCAAATGCAGTACCTGTCTAGGGCCTGCCCTGTGCAATAGCTCTGTCCCCACTGCAGCAAGCTGGGGGTAGGAGAGCTAAGCCACAGCATGCCCAAGCCACTGCCCACTGGCTACCATCACAACCCCAGCATGGTGACAGCCACCCCTCTTGGGAGGGAAACGTCCCTTCCCAGGTGTGACAGTTGGGTGCAGAGAATGCAGCGCCCAGCCAGAGACCAGTAGCGCCCAATGGTGCTACTGGACATAGAGGCTGAGACTGCACCTAGCGGGCACTGGCTCTGGCCTAGGAACAGAGTGACTGACACCCAAGAAGAGACCCTCCAGGTCTCAGCCCGAGCCCCTTGGGGGAATAGGAGGCCAGTGCTACATGCTTCCCTTTGCCCTCAGCACTAGTTCTTCCCTGGGGCTGTGCCATGCTCCAGCCCAGCCCAGACAGCACTGCCAGAAGCTCTTTTGCCTTCCCGTTTAGCCAGCAGTCCCTGCCCCTCTTAAGTTTTCCCTGGGCTTCTTGAAGGGAGGGAGGGGATGCCCCACTGCCATAGTGCTAGCAAGGGGTCCACTTGCAAGGGTTGCTGCAGGTGGGAACCATGACTCTATGGGTGCTTGCGGCAGAGCACTTGTCTCTGGTCTTTTGTATTTCCTCTTGGCACGGCAGAAAGAACGGACTTTCCCAGAAGCAGGACAAGGGCATCTGCAGGCCAACATGATCCCTCAAGCCTGCCAAAAGCACCCAGCCAGGCAAGGACTGGAGTGGTGCTCAGCCCCCAGCCAGGCCAGTGAGCACAGCCCCATGGGGGATGGGGCCAGAACGGTGCTCAGCTCCCAGCCTTATTGGGATAAAGAATGTAAAAGGCCGGAATTTACTGCATGCAGATTCCCTTTCATGGCCCTGCAGCAGTCTGGCCAGTAGCTGGGGGACTTGTAAACAGTGTGCCTGGCACCTCACTCTGCCAGGACTGAGTGGCCAGGGCAGGCACTACACTGGCCAGGGAAAGGCCAGTGCCCAAGACCTGGAAGACAGACAGGTCACTAGCCAGAAAGGCCTTTGGCCTGACCTGATCCAGTTGTTACATTCCTCTCTCCAGTCCATGTGGACATTAAGTCCAGGCCTCACACCCTTTCCTTGCTCCCTTTACTCTGTTGCGGAAGCTCATCCCATCCCGGAGCAGGGTGGGGGGGCGCATCCTTCCCAGGGCTCAGAGATGCGGAGCGTTCTCTGCCCAGCCCAGCCAGCAGCACAAGATGTCACATTCCTTCCAGCTGGCTGGTCCTCAACAGCACAGCAGGAGCCAGGACCACTCACCCACGGCACTGGCAGGTCACGGCACTGCTGTGGGGAAGCCACAGCGTTGCGCACTTTGCTCACTAGGCCAGCATCACTGCAAACCTAGAGCAGTGCCTGTTCCCGGGGCCAGCTCAGGATGGTGCTGCCTGACTCAGGAGAGAGGTCCAGCCCAAATGCAGAGCTGCACTGTGCGCTCCCCCTGGTCTCCCTGCAAAGGGAGGTGCCAGGCTGCTCTTACCTGCTTGCTTCTCTACAGGAGGGTTTCCTGTCTTCTCTGTCTGGCCCCTCACACAGACAACAAACTGCAGGGAGGGAAGGGGACAATGTGGTGAGCTGGAGGGAACCAGCTGAACCACCCTTTTTACCTGAGCAAGGTCAAAAGCCCCTAGACACTCATGACCCAGAGTGGCAAGCACTAGTCTTGCCAGGAGACTGAGCAGTCACGGGGCTGCAATGAGCCATCAAGCTACCTTCATTTGTGGCCGCAGCTCTGTGGGACCTCCAGCCCCCCTGTTCAGAGGGTCGGGGGGGCACATGGTCCTGGTGGTCCCACCAAGTCCCAGCCTGTAGAAATGCAGGTGTCTCTGTACCTGGCTGCCCTGGCTAATGGTACAGGGCTGTCGTGGAAGAGCCTGCTCTACCCGGCAGCTTTCCCCCATGCTGCAGGGTGTCTCCAGCTGCTCCACGCCGGGCTCTCGCGTGGCAGAGGGGCTATCTGGACTCTTTTCCTTCCAGGAAGCTTGATACTGCAAGTCAGCCTGAGCAGCAAGCTCAGAGCTTGGCTGGCCCTGCTCCAGATCCTTGGCATGCTTTTTGGGCTCTGGCTCAGGGGCTGGACAGGATTCTGGGGCCTGGTGCAGATCCAAGAGTGCAAGGGTCCCCGAGGCTGCATCTAGAGGAGAAAGAACAAGCTCCTTACAGGGGAAGCCTCAAGTTACTTGCACATCATTCCCCTTCCGGTGCCCTCAGGCAGAAGGCTGACTCCTCTGCCCCAATCTCAGGCTCTTTAGGAGCCCCCCTGCCATGCACCAGCCCTGCCCACAGCATCCTCTTGTGCTCCCAGGCTCTGCTCCATCCCCTGTCCAGGAATCTGGGCAGGGCTTTGCCTGTGGAAAGCGGGATTTATACTGACTCACCCTGGGCATTAGGTTTTTCAGGCTCTCTCTGCTGCTCGCTGTATAGCTCCTGGATCTCAGTTTGGATGTGCTCCTGCTCCGCAACATTGCCTTGCTCATGGGCCTAGGGAGAGTGGGGAGTGAGAGCTAGGCCAGCCCCTCTGGTGCCCTCCTCCTCTCCCCCCAAAGGATGGCCAGCAATTCCCTATGTAAGATATGTCAGAAACACTATCTCCACCAGCCCAGTACCTGGCCTGTGCGTGCCATCCTGCCAGGGAGATGCTGCTGACTGTGGAGGCCTCTCCCCATGCACCTCAGGTTTCAGCCTGCATGCTGCAGGGCAGCAGGCAGGACATACCTGCACATGCACCACAGTAAGCTGTAGGCTCCCATACAACATGCAAGATCAATCTCACACCCTGCACTGGGGGCCCAGCAACAGCACTGGGGCCATTACAGAACTCAGAAGGCTTGCAGGAGAGCAAGTATCCCTAACCACTGCTGCTTCTCCTGCCTTTCCCAGACTGCCCAGCCACAGCAACCTGCTGCAGCACTGAATGGTCTCGGAATGCATCAGGGCAGCCAGGCACTGCTGGCAAGGCAAAGGACAAGGAGGCTATATCTACTGAAATGGGAAGACTAGACCCCATGCCTGCCCTTTGCATCCCTGGGGCTCCAGCCACCCTTCTGTGTAGGGCTGAGACAGGCAGTAGAGCACAGAGCCAGGAGCTGGCTCTTGGGTCCCTCTGTGCCCTCTGCCACCTGCACAGCATATAGAGGCAGCCCATTTCCCGGCCTTGTCCAGCATTAATGCCAGGAGGTGGGTGTAACAGACGGTCCCTGCCCAGTGACCCCTGTCCCGCCCTGCTTCCCAAGCCCCAAATAACCAGAAAGAGTTCCATGATGCAGGGGAGCATCTAGCTCCAACCTACATCACAGCTTCATGTCAGTCTGGCCCTGCCTGTGTCACCCAGTGGCTCCAGTTAGATGGGAGCAGTGAAGGCACAAGATTCCCCTAGGTCTCCTCTGCTGCCCTGCACTACGCCCCCATCACTCAGCTAACAAGGAAATGCTCAGAGCCTGGGACTACATGCTGTTGTTGGAGCAAAATCTGGAAAAGCTCCTCTTAAACCAGAGAGGACATGTGGGTGACAGGGGTTCACACTGCCCCACACCTTGGGAGAGCCAGAGGTTCTCTCTGGTAGCATTTGTCTCATCAATCGGAGCAGGAGTCCTGGCTGAACTGGACACAAATGGCATGTCGGGGAGCAATGGGACCATCCTGCAACAGGGGGATGGTAAACAAGCTGCAGCATGGGGGCGTGGAGCATCAGCGCAGAGCCCAGAAGGACTAACAGATCCCAGCAGAGCAGTAACACAGAATGAACTCTGGGAGCAGCACAAGCTCCAGCTGCTGACGTAACTTACAAGGGTGGAGGTGGCGAGGGGACGATACCCCAGAAAGTGTTCAGGGGAAACCAGCACCCAAATCCACACCTCATTCTAGGATCCCTATTTTGGAGAAACAGCCACAGGTTTTGGAGGAGCTGGCCAGGTAAGCTAGGATGGCTCCACGGGCTGGTCAGGAAATACTCCTGTGTGGACAGGGCCTTGTGCAGCGTTGCTGTGCAGGGTTGCAGTACCAACAGGCCCTGATGGGGAAGGCAGAGGAGTGGTAAAGGGTGAAGTAGAGCCACCTCTCCCTCCACAAGCCTGGGGGAGGCAGAGGGTGAACGACAGTGGATGTGCTGTGGGGCCCCACTCCTTCCTACTTGGTTGTGGCTACAACCACTGCTTTCCAGATGTTTCTTCCCTTCCCCACTCTCTCCCCTAAATGGAGATCCTGTGCTGTGTCTCTGGGTGCAGGGACCTCTTATCATCACGAGAGGTACGCCCTACAGGCTCAGCACTGCTGCAGCAGGAAACCATAGGCAGGGAAAGGGATGACTGGGCTTTCACCCATTCCTGCCAGCCCCAGGGACCGATCCTCAGCCTGCTCCACCAGCTCATCCTTCCCTAGCCATGCCCACCTGGAGAGCCATCACCTACAAGCACCAGCCTATCTCCAGACCAAGTCGAGACCCCTTGAACGTGAGCAGTGACAACAAGCGTGGGGAGCGGGAAGGGGGGCTCAGGTTTCTGTCTGTGCAAGGTGACTACTGGCAGCAGCCACCACAACCAGATCCGCAGCAGGGACGGATGCCCAGTACTCCTCCACTCATCAACCACCCAGCAGATACTGCTATCTCCTCTCCCAGCAAGCACATCCTGGCCAAAGTGGGCACACACCCAGCCCAGCACTGCCAAGAGCACTTGCACGCAGGCTGCAGCCCCAAGACAGCTTCAGTGGGAACTGCAGGAGAGGCCAAGGTGAAGCCAGTCTTGAGGCCACAGCCCAAACTGAGCACTGTCTCCAGCCAGTGCCCTGGCCCTTCCCGTAGTCAGGCCGGACACAGCCACGTTCTCCTGCTCCAGCCCTGGCTCATCGCTGACGGAGACACGCTGGCGCAGCTGGTTGGCTGGCCAGCCCTGCCAGCTCCAGTCCTGGCTCACTGCTGTCAGGGGCACACTGGCACAGCACAGAAAAAGATGTCCAGCCATGCCCCTGGCTCCAGCCCCAACACATCGCTGACAGGGACACGTGGGAACAGCCCAGCGCTGAGTGCCCAGCCATGCCTCTGGCTCACCACTGATGGGGACATGCGGAAACAGCTCAACACTACTGGGTGCCCAGCTGTGCTCCAGCCCTGGCTCACCACTGTCAAGGGCATGCTGGCACAGCTCAGTGCAGGGTGCCCAGCCATGCCCCCTCCGGATCCAGCTCTGGCTCATCACTGACAGGGATACACCGGCACAGCCCAGCGCTAGGTGCCTGGCCAAGCCCCACCAGCTCCAGCCCAGGCTCACTGCTGATGGAGACATGTGGGAACAGCCCAACGCTGGTGCCCAGTCAAGTCCTCCCCAGCTCCAGCCGTGGCTCATTGCTGACAGGGACATGCAGGAACAGCCCAGTGCAAGGTGACCAGCCATGCCCCGTCTGGCTCCAGCCCTGGCTCATCGCCAACAGAGACACACTGCCCAGTGCAGGACAACTGGTCAAGCCCCACTGGCTCCAGCCCAGGCTCACCGCTGATGGGGACTTGTGGGAACAGCCCAGCACTGGGTGCCTGACTGTGCCCGCCCTGGCTCCAGCCCCAGGTTCCTTGCTGATGGGGACATGTGGAAACAGCCTAGCCTGGCTGGGTGCCTGGCCATGCCCACCCTGGCTCCAATCCCAGGTTCCTCACCACAGATGGGGACATGCAGGAACAGTCTAGCCATGCTCCTGGCTCCCTCATCCATTGATGCAGACTCCTGCCATCCTCTTGTCCCTGCTCCAGCTGTACTGCCAAGGGCACCTGCCCCCAAGCCAGGTCATACCTGTACTGGGGGTAGCCTGTCTAAGGATGGCTGGGACAAGGAAACCAAGTGAAGGAGATGGAAAATCTGCAGCAATTCCCCCATCAGCGGAGCCCTCCACACTTACCACAGAGTGTTCAACGGAGCGGAGTGTGAGCTCCTTAGCAGCCAGTGGTTCAGCATCTGCCTTACGGCTACTCTCCACGCTCTCAGCCAGGGCTGGTGGATCAGCATCACCCCTCTGGCTGCTCTCCACACTCCCAGCCACAGTCAGTGGTTCAGTATCGCCTGTCTGGCTGCTCTCCATGTTCCTGCCCCGACCTAGGGACTTGGCATCATCTCTCTGGCTGCTCTCCTGGCTCCTAGCCAGGGCTGGTTGTACACTATCACCCCTCTGGCTGCTCTCCACACTCCCAGACAGGGTTGGTGGCTCAGTGTCATCCCTCCGGCTGCTCTGCACATTCCCAGCCAGGGCTGCAGCTGGGTGGAAGCAAACGAAGGTGGTTAGCAAGGAGCTGGCCATGTCCCAGCATCTCTGGGATATGGGGATGGGGCCTTACCTTCAATTTCCTCCGCCCGCAGCTTGCGGATGGCAGCACGGATCAGCTTGCGCTCCTCGTACTCGCTAGCCCCTCGCAGCTACAGAGGGAAAGACCCAGCAGTGATCCAAGGTTCCATCAGTGCAAGGCAAGCATCCCCATCACAAGCAGCAGCCTCTCAAGTGTGGAGGAGCAGCATGGGAAGTCTCAATGGCACAAGACTTCTTGTGTTGTCCCTTGCCTGGCAGGAGTCTTCTCTTTGGGCATGGGCCAGGCAAGGTCAGCCCATGACCCAGCAAAGGTCACTTACCAGTTTTGTCAGCTCCTCCACATCTGTGATCAATTCAAGTTTCTGGGATAACGAGGCCAGGGCCTTCTGCTGTTCCTCCTCTAGCTGCTGGAACCTGTGCAGGGACAAGGGCTTGACAGAGGCTAGCCAGGATCTGAGGGGGGTGCTTGGCAGCAAGGTCTCCTCGTGGCCAAAAATCCCCCACTGGCAGCCCAGACAAATTCAAGCCATAGAGCCCCCATGCACAGAACCATCCTCATGCCAGGCTGTTCCCACCTTCGTGCCTATCAACATCTGCCCTAAGCCGTAGCATTGGACAGGCATCAAAGTGACAGAGCGGAGCTGGGCTCAGGGGAGCTGAGGACAACATGCTCTTGGGCCAAGACAAAACATCAGCAGCATCCACACCTTGCCCTCCCATGCTATACTCACCGCAGCCAGTTCTCCTTGTTGTCCTGCCTGTGGCTGCCACGCTCTGAGCGGAAGCGCTTGGACGCCAGTGCCTCCTCATCCCGCTCCAGCTCCTGGCGCCGCAGCTCCCTGATGGCTGAGCGAATGCGGCGCCGCTCAGCAAGGTCCAGTGTTGCCTCCAGCTAGGGTACAACAGAGCAGGAGTCTGCACCAGACTGATGCGCACGTCACACAGAACTAGCTATTTATCCCAGCTTAGCCCCCAGTGCCACTCTCTGCCAGGATCCCCACCCGGGCTGCCCACACGCAGCACAATGAGGTCATCTGTCCTGCCCTGCCCGTGGCAGAGCGGCGCACACTGCTTGGTAGTGTTCTCATCCCCCACACACTGAGCACAAGGCCCTGCCAGCTGGGCGCTGCCACCGCCCACAGCTATTGGAGAGGGGTGAGAACAGGGAGGCAGCCTGGCACAGAAACTGGCACAGGACAAGAGGGTGCCACAAGACTAGAACATAGAGAGAAGGGAGCTCGACCACTGGCCTTTCAAGGGAAAGATGCTATGGCTCCCCATGGGAAGCTAGGGCTAGGAACAGCAAGCATGGCTTTCCCCTGGGCTCAGAGATCTCTGGCTAGCGTGTGCATTAGGGACAAAGAGATGGGGTAGGTGGCATGAATCCTTCTCCTAGCCATACAGGGCTGCAGAAATCTGTGTAGTAGCTGACGGGTCCACCCTCCACAGTCTTGCCCTTCCATGCTGCAGGCTAGCTCAGGGCATGGGGGCAAGCTTTCCCATCTGTGAAGCAGCTGCAGGTATGGGCAAGGACCTCCCCAGGCCCCACTTCCCAACATTGTGTCTCCCAGGAACTGCCTAGCTCCCCTTGGAGGCAGTACCCAAGGTTAAAGTGCCCAGGGTAGGAGGATCCCAGAACCCCATCGAGGAGGGGTTAAGCCCAGGCCCAGTCTGCTGCCACGCAGTCCTTGCCTTCTTCACCTGGGCAGCGCTAACATGGAAGGCAGGTGGTCCTTGGAGCCAAAGCCACAAGCAGGATCTGTCCTAAAGCAGTCCAACCCACTGTGTGTGAGAAGCACCTCCCCCCTCCCACCCCCCAAGCTCCACGACATCCCTCTGACTCCATCACTCCCTGATAATGTCACATCAGTGCACCCCCTGGCTGCTCAAGGCAGTACAGGAACAGCAGCCTCCTTGCAAGCACCCAGCAGAGTCACAGACCCTCATTCCAGGAGTGCTTCACCCCTTGCAGACCAAGGACACAACACAGGCTCTGTTGTCAGCCTGAGTGGGCCACAGCAGCCTGTGCCTCAAGGGGAGGCAGTGCAGAGCTCCCCCATGGCAAAGAGGGACGTGAGGCAGCTAGTTCTCCCCAGGGAAAGGCTATCCAAGGGCAGGCATGGACCCAGCTGGCTTCCCCCTCTCCTGCTGCGGAACGTCAGGGCTGACAAGGCGCTGAGGCTGGCTCCCAGTGAGGGAACCCAAGAGGCAATTTCTCATGGAACTTATTAAAAATAAACTCTGTGACCCAAACCAGCTGCTGTGAGCATCAAGCCCTGGTGTGCTGGGAGCAGCAGCATCTGCATCACAGGACAAGAGCATCAGTCCCCCCTGCACAGTCCCACAGGCCTCGGAACTGGGCTCTGAGGGGAAGGGTCTTTCCTGCAACAAGCACGGGTGCCAGGGCATTTGAGTGGGGGAGGGGGAACTCAGCTCACCTCAGCTATCTGGAGCCCAGGCCAGGCAAATGTCCCTCTAGAGCTCTCATTCCAGTTACAGATGGGCTCTGGCTGCAAGGAACCTGCCAGGAAAAGGCTCTGCTTTCCAGCAGGGGTTCTGCCCCAGCTCCAAGTCATGCCAGAGCAAGGAATCCAGATTTCAGCCCTAAGCTGGACCCAGGCACATTCAACCCAGGCTCACAAATTGAGCTGTGATGAGAAGCACAGCAAGGCCAGGAGCAAGCTGGGGCAGGGCCCCAAACCCAGCCCACAGCACTCTTTGCCACAGGCCAGCAGCATGCACAAACTCTCTAGGCACAGAACCTCCTAGCAAAGCCATGGCCCTTTGATGTCTCTGCCCTGCACTGGGTTTAGAGGCATGGCCAGAGGGAGGAAATATTTTCACCCAGGCCAAAGCACAGCCTGCAGTCAGCAAGCGCAGGTGCTCAAGGGTAGACCTACCGCTCCCCCCCCCCCCCCCAGTACACCCGTAGAAGCAAGAGATGTGATTTTTCAGCCATTAACTGATTTGATGCTCTGCTGGGAGCAGAATCTTCTCCTGATCCTGGGGAGACCCCAGCTGGGTGCAATGCAGCCAGAAGCACTGCCCTTCAGGCCATCCTTACAGCCCTGCCCAGGCAGGGTACCTCCCGCAGGCCACTCAGCTGCTCAGCCACATAGCACTGAAAGAGCCCAAGAACTACACTGATCCCAGCTCCCTTGTAAAGCTGGAGGCAGCAGTGCAAAGCACAAGTGTTCCTATCTACTTCCAAGCAGCTTTCCTTCTCTTGTCCCTCCTGGCACCCCCCACTATGCTGCCTATCAGCACAATTTGTATCAGACATGTGGCAGCTGGTTATTGCATCCTGCAACACTTCAAGCATCTTCCTCCTAGATAGAAAGATCCTGGGGGCTGCAGCCCTGCCCTGTGCCACCCCCCCCCATCCCAGAAAGGCTCTCTCTTAAAGGTGGGGGCTTTCATCTGAAGATTGTGCCTCTGCCCACCTGGGGCAGAGCTGGGTTAGCCCTGGGCAGAGGAGTAGGGAGGATCCAGAGCATCTATGCTCCCAGAGCACGTCAGGGAGAGACACCCAGGGAGGAAACCAGTCCCTCCATTCACAGGGGCCTCCCATTTCCCATCAGCACTCTGCACTAGGCTTGCCTGCCCCAGGCAGCTGGCCCACACCCTGGGGAAGCTCCTACAGGCAAGGGGCACTGGCTGCAAGGACAAAGACACGGGGACTGGGGCCTTTTCCTCTCCAGATGAATGGGGAGGTCACCTCAGAGATGGGAAGGATTCAGAGGGAGCTCATCCAAGCCACTTCTTGGAGCTTTCTGCCAAGTTAACACAAGGGAAAACACACAGGGGAGTGTCGCAGATCCTTTCTCTTCTTCCACTTCACACTGTGCATGTTCCGCAGCAACAGCTCTGCCCCAAGTCTGCACAGAGGAAAGCCATGCCCCTTGCAAAGGGGACAGCCCTTTTCCTGCTGGCTCCATGCACAGCAAAGAAGCAGGGTCTTAGCGCACGGGGGCCAGCTGGGGTCAACTCAGCACCACACAGAGCTGTGATAGCATTAGGCCAAACAATGGGGCCACAGCACCTCCAAACAGCCCCCAAGGTGAGGCAACGAGGCAGGTCCCCCAGGCCACAGCTCTGAAAGCCATTGGCTCCTTGCCAAGGAGAGCTCCTTGGTCTGTAATGTCCTATGTGTAGTGTCCCCACAGGACAGACAGTCTTCATACCTCTGCCATGGGGGAGCAAACACAGTGCCCCTGGCACTGCTCCCCAGCCCGGGTAGACCAGCTCCTCCCTATGCCCCCAAGGACAGGGAGACAGTGCTCAACACTGCAAGAAGGGCAGGCAGGACCTCATGAAAACAAGCCTGAACCTAAGCTTGCCAAAAACACAGGAGCATCAGCAGGACTCCTGAAATCACAATCTGCTGCCCTCCCACGCAATGCTGGGCTGGGAGAAGCCTCCTGTGCCAGCAGACAGAACAGCCCATGACCCACTGCAGGACAGGCTCCCCAGCCAGCCTGTCCTGCCCAGCAGCACAGGAAGTCCTGCTCCAGTGTGCACAGGGTGGGAACATGGGTCTTGGGGGAGTGACAGATCCTGGTGCAGATCAAGCCCAAAAGGAAGAGTCAGGAAGAGCTGCCAGCCAAAAACCAGACACTGACAGCCTCTTTCAAGGGCCTGCGGGCACCCAGTCCCCAGTGGATCTGGGACAGGGTATCTGGAGCAAGATAGAGAGGAACGATGGCAAGTCAGGCTCTTCTGCAGCT